ACAAAGCCCTCTCTCTCTTTTATTAAACCTTTACTGGCTTCCTTAAGCGTGCCAGAACATGCAATTATCACGTATGAAGCTTCCCAATGATAAATTCCCAAGCTTGCATCAGCCGGGGAATATTCTCGCTTTCCTCCTGCAGCCATCGTGCGCGGAATCTGTAGGAGGACATCATAACAGATAGGTAGCGCGCGCATTTCAACGCAATGGGGTTGATTATAATTAACCCCCGTTCACACTTTGCCACCGTGTGAACGCGCAGCAAAAGCATGCACACCTGCGCACATTCGCGCAGCATGTCAAAAAACCCGTCCGACGAGCTTGCAGTGCCATTGCTTGTTAATGGCACTGCAAGCGCGTCACAATTATACTTTCCAAACTTGCATCAGTCGGGGATTATACTCAATTTCCTCCTGCAACCATCGTGCACGGAATCTGCAGGAGGACATCATAGCAGATATGTGGTGCGCACATGTAAGCATTTCATCGCAATGGGGTTGATTATAATAAATCCCCGTTCACACTTTGCCGCAGCGTGAACGCACAGCAAAAGCACGTCATGCAAGCGCACCGGTGTGCATTCGCGCAACATGTCAAAAAACGTCGAACGAGCTTTTGGCACTGCAAGCGCGTCTAGGGCTGCCACCTGTCCCGGATTCACCTGGACAGTCCGGGTTTTGAGTCCTGTATGTGCTGCGTCTGGGTGACAGCTGCCCTGAAACCCGAATTGTCCAGGTGAATCCGGGACAGATGGCAACCCTAAGCGCGTCAAGCATTTTTTGAAGCGTTGCATGAACGCGTGCAGGTCCGCGCGCATGACCTGCTTTTGGCGCACATTCACACATTCACTTAATGGCACTCTGAATACGGCTGGTAAAATGCGCACTTTCGCCTATGCATGAAAGTGCGTCAAATGCGCGGTAAAAAAAAAACACGGGAAGCTCGCTGCTGAAAATGCTGCATGAGCTGAACGCACGCTCACGAGTGTAACGATTTGCACAGTGAATGTGCACTTAGGTCAGTGAATCTGGTGACGTTGCGTTCTTTTCAAGCACTTGCTTACTTGCTCGCATGTGATTGGATTGTGAGCTATGAGCAGACGTCTCCATTTGAATCCATTCCTCGATAGCCACAAAGATGTAGATCCGGTGTGTGCGCGCCGAGTGAATTTCCATCGTTTGCAAACCAAGAGTT